ATATGTATGCGTATATCGCCTGCATGTAGGTAAGTGCACCCATGTCGTGCAATGCCCATGGAGGACAGAAGAGGCCATCCGATCCCCTAGAACTGGAGTTATGGACAGTTGTTAGCTGCCATGTGGGTGCTGGGATTCAAACCTGTGTCTCTGCAAGAACAGCCAGTGTTCTTAACCACTGAGCCATTTCTCCAGACCCCTTTTTTTGGTCTTTTTGAGATAGGTTGTTCCTGTAGCCCCAACTGTCCTGGAACTTGCAGGGTGGCCTCAAACTCCCAGAGATCCACCCACTTCTGCCTCCCTAGTGCTGGGATTAAAGGCCTGCACCACCACATCCAGCTGAGAAGTACCTGCAAGAACAGCCAGTGTTCTTAACCACTGAGCCATTTCTCCAGACCCCTTTTTTTGGTCTTTTTGAGATAGGTTGTTCCTGTAGCCCCAACTGTCCTGGAACTTGCAGGGTGGCCTCAAACTCCCAGAGATCCACCCACTTCTGCCTCCCTAGTGCTGGGATTAAAGGCCTGCACCACCACATCCAGCTGAGAAGTACATGCTTTTAACCACTGAGCTGTCTCTGTAGTCCAAGATGATTGTCTTTTAAGAGCAAAGACTACATTAGATTTTTTTTACATTTATTTTATTTGTGGGGGAGGGCACATACCATGGCACATGTGTGGGGTCAGAGAACAATCTGCAGGACCTGGTTCTCTCCTTCCACCATGTGGGCTCTGGGGGTCAAATTCATGTCACTGGGCTTGGCAGCAAGTGCCTTTGCCCCTGAGCCTTCTTGCTCGCCCAAGAATGACTAATGCAGATCACACATTTTGTCTTTTTGAGACAGGGTCTCCCTGCAGCCCCAGCTGGCCTGGAACTCACTATGTAGACCAGGCTGGCCTTGACCTCAGAGAGATCCACATGCCTCTGGGATTAAAGGCCTGTGCCACCACGCCCAGCTGGGCTAGAGTGTCTTCTCTTAAGCGGGGTCAACACTGCCCTTGAGGAGTTAGAGGCAGAGGATGTCCCTAGAGCACAAGTGTCCCTATCCAAAGCTTGGGCAAGAGGTCTCCCCAAGGGGTGTCTCCCAGAAGACTTTAGGGCTAGAGGGTTGGGCCAACGCTACAGAAACCCCTCACCCATACTGTCCAAGGAATGTGCCTCAGTGTCACTTGTTCCCTGGCCTTGGAACTGCTCACCAGCTCTGAAGGAGCCTTGTCTGCCACCAGATGAGTTGGGATGGGGGTATTTCTCTATGGATGCTGGGAAGGGTACTGAGATTGGCTCTGGAGAAGAGACCCAGTTGTCCATACCTGTCATCTCAACATTTGGGAGGTTGAAAGTGGGAGGATCAGGAGTTCAAAGCTAGCCTTGGCTACACGAAGCACTGTGGGAGGGAGGGAAAGAGAGAGTGAGAGATTGATTGCACCCTGATCAGATTCAGAATAGGGCTGAGTGGGGCCACTGGCTGAGGAAGGGCACCTGGGGTTTGAGAAGGAACTGAACCCATATTAAAGGTGGGCTGTGTGTGTGTGTGTGTGTGTGTGTGTGTGTGTGTGTGTGTGTGTGTGGCAGGGAGCAGGACAGAGGAATGGGGCCAAAAGACAACAGAAAATTGGGAGGAAAGGGTTCTGGTTTGGGCAAGTTTGACAGGGCCCTGTACTACTTGATTAAGGGTTTGTTGTAGCCCTGGGCGGCAGCAGATAAGGCAGGGCCCCTGCCCAGGGGATTTAGAGTGACAGACACTGTACAGGTGGGGCTGGTTGGGTGAGGTAGAAAGGGGAACATGGCCCGAGGCTCCTTGGGAGTTGGGACTCCAAATCAAAGAGAAAGACCCCCCTCCCCATGTTGAGAGATAGTCTGCTAAGATGGGGTCCAAGGTCATGTCACAGTCTGTATTCACAGCCGACTACATCGTGCTGCAATTCGGCCGTGTGGCAGAGGACGCCTTCACCCTGGACTACCAATACCCTCTGTGCGCCCTGCAGGCCTTCGCCATCGCCCTCTCCAGCTTCGATGGGAAGCTGGCCTGTGAATGACCTGACAGCCCCTAAGCCTGTGAGGGTTAGGAAATGGGAAACCATTCGCTGGAGGGGTAGCAGGGTCTCTCCTCCACAGCCCCCCAGCGGAAGGCTCCTTGCCGTTGGGGGGAGATAGCCCCTCATTGCCTCTCCGTGACCTCCGCGCACACCCCCTCCCCACCCCAGCCTGGCAACAGGCAGAGGCGGAGAAGCTCAGACCGCGGATGGAGATGAGGAACATCTGGAGTTGGAGCTGCGCATCTGGTCCCAGACCTCGCCGTCCGCCTCGCCCCCTCCTCTCCGCACCCCAGCCACTTCCTGTCCAGGAGTCGGAGTCAGTTGTTCAAAGCTCCTCAGGACTGAGCTGGGGTAGCTCTGAGGGGGGTGGAGATGATGGAGAAGCGCAGTCAGGAACCCACATCCCCAATAAAAGTCACATCCTGGACTGAACGCTGCGGTGGTTCCTGGGTGCGCGCGGGAGGAGACCTGGGTACCGGTGCGTCCTCCCCAACCCGGGGCGCTCCCGCGTCCCCTCCTCCAGCCATGGCGGGTCCTACCGAACCTCGGCGGGCACGCAAGGTCCAGGCGCGCCCCCCCCCGCCGCAACATAGGGCCCCCCTCAGCTGCAGGGCCGAGAGGGAGGGCCCCAGAGGTCCAGGAAGAGGGAGAAAGGGAGAAATTCGAGAAACAAGACACTCGGGGAGAACCAGACAAACCGGGTCCGGGCTGGGCGCGCGCGCGGCCGCCAGGGCGGAGCCGGGTCTGGGGCCCCGGGAGTTGGAGGGGCGGACTCTGCAAACGCCTCGGCTGCCCGGGACTCGAGTGGAGGGGTGGGGACCCCCGAGGTCCCGTGCGCGCTCGTGCCTCTCCGAGATACGCGTGACGCGGCACCCCAGGCCCCCAACACGGTTGGGAGCCCAGCCCGTCCCCCAGCCGGGAGCTCCACCCTCGGCCCCGCCTTAGACTGGAGTCCCAAATTCCAGCGAGGGCAGCCAGGAGGGTTTAGGGGTAAAGCCTAGTGTGAATGGGGAGCTGGGGAGCTCTGCGATGGCAAGTGAAAAGTGGGGTGCCCGGGAGTGGGAGTTCTGGAGGGGCCGCGGGATGAGCAGTCCGAGAGCAGGCCTGACCACGCCCACACACGGGCACGCCCACACGCCAGGCCCCGCCCCTCCTGCCCGCAGCCCCCACCCCCCCGTCCGGCTCCTCAACACAAACTTTCCGTCCCGCTCTCTCCCTCCTCCGCGCCCGGCACCTCCCGCTCCGGCCCGGCTCATTCCGGGCATTCCGGCCAGCCCCCTGCCCACGACCCCCCTTCCCGGCCCCCCTCGCAGCTCCCTCGGGCCCGGCGGAGCGGCCCAGGCGCAGCGCCCCCCCGAGCTCGGAGCAGGTAAGCCCGCAGGACGCGCGGGTGGTGGCCGGGGCGGCCTGGCTCGCCGAGGTGGCTGGTTGGGTTGGTTCTGGATGGCGAAGACATGGGTGGGGGAAACACTCCAGGGGCTCCGGGTTCCCCAGCTATTGTCCACCTGGAGCTGGAGCCCGGGATCTGGGTGCCGGGAAGTTTGGAGGGAAGGGGGGAGACGCTCTCCGGGAAGCCCCGCCCCCTCCCCCCCCGCGACCCGGAGGCTTTGGGAAGCCCAGAGTGTCCCCCACCGAGCCTCGGCCTGTCCCCGCCGTGCGCTCCTGGGGTGTCCCCCGGGGGGCTGCGGGGCTCGGAGGGCCTGCCACCCGGGACTCGTATCCGGGGCGCCCTTTGGACTCCCGGGCCCGCGCTCTCCCGGAGCCCGCCCGGCCCCGGCTCCACGCAGGCCTCGGGCCCAGCCTCCCTGCGCCCGGCGCGGGGTTGCGCGCGGTGCTCGCGGTTGCGCTGGGACGGTGCAGGGTGTCAGGGAGCCCGGCTGAGAGCCCCGGGTGTATGTGCGCCCTCCCCTGAGGGGACAGGACGCCCGGTCCCTCCAGCTCTGCCTTCTGCGCAGAGCTGGACGTTCAGATCCCAGCTCCGAGCTCAGGACAGGGCTGGATTTGGGGCCTTCGCCGCTCCTCTTCAAGGAAACTTGTCATGGCAGTTGAGGGCGGCTGGTTCTCCCTAACTCTTCGGGTCCCTTCTATTGTCTGTCATGTTCTTTATTCCTGCCTGGGAAGGGAGACCCGGGAGCTGGTCTGGGGCTGTTTTCTAGTCCAGCCCGGCCCTGGGCAGTGCCATTGAGCCCCAGCTCTGTTACCTTTTCCCCGGATAGGGGCCCTGATTCAGAGCTGAGATTCTTTCAGAGCAAAGGGGGAATGAGGCCTGGGGCAGGGCTTCTCAGGGGTTGTGCCCCCTGTATCTTGATCTTCTCCAGGTAGGGGCAGAACCAGGTCAGGCCTGGACTTGTAGTCCAGCCCAGAGGATGGGGGGTGAGGGCTGGACAGAGCTTGGAAGGGCTGGTGCCCATGGTGGCTCTGTGTATCTGCGCTTCTGTGGCCTAGTTCTGTGTACACACGGTCCACCTCAGCTTTGGGAGACTGGGACACCCAGCTTGGGGATGCTGGGAGGCAGCCTGGGGCCAGGAGGGAAGGCAGAAAAAAGTTGAAAGAATAGGGGAGCTATGATCCCCTCTTCCATATTTCTAAGCTCCTGAGATTCCTTTCCCTAGCAGCCCCCCTCCCAGAAGATGGGGTTCTGCTCACTGTGGGCAGAGGATGGACCTCAGGACTGGATGACCCTCCACAGGAAGGGGCTGGGAGCCAGGCCTTCCCTACTCCAAGGGAGGGAACCGTAATTAATGCTAATTAGCACTTTGGGCCTGGGGAATGGTGGAACTGAATGGTCAGTGGTTGGCAGGAGATCTTTGCGTGTGTACATATATGAGCATATGTCCAGATCACTGTGCCTGCCATCACTGTGAGTTTTGCCCATCCTGCTGAGAAATAAATACACCTAAAGAGACACCTCAGCCAAGGGCAGGAGACAGGGCTCTGGTCCCTGTTCAGAGCCTCCCACCACCAGCTGTATTAGTGGGACTCCTCATATTCCTGAGACAGCTCCCCCCCAGAGGCTTGTCTCCCCTGTCTGCCATTGTGAAAGCTGAACCTGGAGGAGTCTGGAGAGGCCCCAGATATTGCAAGGAAGAGGGAGAGGACAAGCGGGATAAAGGGTACCTAAAGCAAAACATGGCAAGGGGTGGCCCCAAAGTAGATGTGAAGGGACAGGCAGGCTGGGTGGAGTTGGTAGAGCTTGCCCTCAGAGGTGTTAGAGGGGCCTGGCAGGGCCTGGTGAGAAGGTTGGGGTTCGGAGGCCACCCTAGGCCCCACTCAGAGAGCCCTCCAGGGCCTCCTAGGCTCCATGTGGGACAGAAGCTGGCAATCTTGCCCTCTGCCTCTCTCAATGCCAAGGAGCTGAGGGTTGATTTCTCCTTGAGGAGTAGCAAAGGGATCTGGTGGCATCAAGACTCCAGAGAGCTGGGACCCGTGAGGGTCTGAACACTACAGCACTCTTGAGGAGGTGCCCAGGCCCTCTGGGCAGCCCTGGGGCCATGGCCAGAGCCTCTCTGGTTAGAGCTTGGGGGGGGCATTCAGCAGATCACGGTCATCTTTATGCCCATGGCCCTTCCTGTGGCACTGTGTTCCTCATGTGCCAGCTCAGGGCTGTGGCTAGAACGACTCCTAACGTAGTGAAGACCATACAAGTCTCCAGACCCTCAGGAGGCTAAGGCCAGAGAATCCAGTCCCAGATCCCCAAAGCCTCAGCCCCTGGGGTTTCCTAGAGTGCTGATTGTTTCCTGGACTCCCTGCCAGGCCCAAAAGGACAGGAAGTGATAGAGGGAAATGAGGGCAACTGTGTATGACTCGATGTGAGAATGAGGGGATGATCTGTGTGGATATGTGTGGGAAAGGACCCAGTGCAGTCTGTGTGCCCACATGTAAGAAAAGTTGTGACTGTGACGTTCATGTGTGTGTGAGCCACTGTGCCATTCTCCATGTGGCTCTCCGTAAGACAGACTATGAGAACTTGGGTCAGCGAGATGACTGAGCGCTTAAAGGTTAAAGGCACTTGCTGCCAAGCTTGATGACCTGAGTTTGATCCTTGTGTACCCACATAGTGGAAGGAGAGACTGTGGGAACCTGGTGTGTGTTGAGTGGGGAGGAGATTGCTTTCTCCGTCTGTCTGTGAGAAGCTGCTTGGGTGAGTTTCTGGAGTTACATTGGACATGTCTGTGAAGAATATCCTGTGCTTGACTGTCTGGCTGTGGGAGGGACCATGATTCTATGATGATTTGTGTGTGTCAGCATCAGAATGAGTGGCATTCTTCATGACATGTGATGTCATGGTGTGACCACTTGTGCTGTCAGTTGTGAAACTGTGTGTGAGGTGGCCTTGGGTTTGTCTGTGTGTGACTACATGACACCAGCCGGGTGTGAGTTAAAACGAAAGGCTCTGCTGACATTGTGACATGAGGGTGCAGTGTGTGCTGAGGAGCTGTGAAGGGGAGTTGATCGTGAATACCTGAACACGGTATGTAGGTGAGATGGCCAGGGAGAGCCACCCCGGGTGTTCACCCCTGGTGAGAAACTGTGTGGGGTGTGACTGAAACAGGCTCTGTGGGTGGTCACTATCTCAGCTTGTGTGGGTGACATCCTCAGGGGCTGTGCCAGGCAGGGTGTATGATACTGTGTAACTGGTGTGGGGGGCCTGTGACCCCAGTGCATGTGGTGTCTACCCAGAAGATTATGAAAAAGATACAATTAAAGAGAAGGAATAAGCAGGGGCGGGTGTAGTGGTGCACACCTTTAGTCCCTGCACTTGGGAGGCAGAGGCAAGAAGATCTAAGAGTACAGGGCTGGAGTGATGGCTGAGTGATTAAGAGGACTAGCTGCCCTTGCAGAAGACCCGGGTTCAATTCCTAGCACCCACATGGCGGCTAACAATCGTCTGTAGCTCCAGGTCCAGGGGAATCTGACACCCTCTTCTGACCTCCATGGGCATTGCACGACATGGGTGCACTTACATATATACTCATACACATAAAAAAAAATAAGGAAAATATAAAATAAAAATAGGGTGAGGCTAGCCTGGTCAACAGGGAATTCTAGGTCAATCAGGGGTATATAGTGAGACCCTGTCTCAGAGGGGGGTGGGGATAAGCCCAGTGCCACTCAGCTGTACACACAACAATAGCTAAGATGAGCCAAACACCTGGTAAGGTGGTGCACTCCTTTAATCCCAGCACTTGGGAGGCAGAGGCAGGTGGATCTCTGAGTTCAAGGCCAGCCTGGTCTACATAGTGAGTTCCAGGACAGCTGGGGCTACAGGGAAGACCCTGTCTCAAAAAGACGAAAAAAAAAGATGAACCAAGCATGGCGGCCGCAGTACTCTGGAGGCTGAGAGGCAAGTTTGAGGCCAGGGCTAAAAGGGGAGACTTTGTCTCCATAATTAAAAAAAAACAGAAAAGAAGAAAGAAAAACAAGGTTAACATGGTTAATTTTATCACCAAATCTGAATGTTTTCCTTATACTTGTAAACCCCAGTACTTGGAAGGCTGGGCAAAATGACTGCTTCAAGTTCAAGGGTACCCTGGGCTATAGGAATGAAAACCTTGTCTCAAAAAAAAAAAAAAAAAATAGGTGGGGTGTGGTGGCACATGCCCTTTAATCTCAGCGCTTGGGAAGCAGAGGCAGGCAGATCTCTGAGTTCAAGGCCAGCCTGGTCTACATGCCGAGTTCCAGGCCAGCCAGGGTTACAGGGAGACCCTATCTCAAAAAGACCAAGAAAAAAAAAAAAAAAAAAAGCAAATCAGTAATATGGCTCAGCAGGTAAAGCCTGATAGCCTGGTGACCTGAGTTTGATCCCCAGGTAAAAGGCAGAACTGACTCTTGGACCTACATACACACATACACACACACACACACACACACACACACACACACAGACACGCAAATAATAAATGGGGGAGAAATGAAAAAAACAGAAACTATGACTATATGTGAATTTTCAAAAAAAACACAAAAACAAAACAGGCCGGTTGTGGTGGCACACGCCTGTGGGATATGCTGAAGAGGCAGAGGCAGGAGGATCATGAGTTCCAGGCCAGCCAGGGCTACACATTTAAGCCGGGCGTGGTGGCTCACGCCTTTAATCCCAGCACTCGGGAGGCAGAGGCAGGTGGATCTCTGTGAGTTCAAGGCCAGCCTGGTCTACACAGTGAGTTCCAGGACAGCTGGGGCTACAGCTGTAGAGCAGAGGGCTATTGCTGTGACCTTCCCCCAGCGAGGGAGGGCTGTTTAGAGAGGACACTGGGACTTCAATGGCAGAATTGACTGACTGGTGGCAACTCAATGGATGATTGAGGGGGCATGATTGACATGTTAATTGAGTGCCTTGAGACCCCTGTCCCCTGGGGTGTCCCTCACTCA